TAAAATCTCTTTAAGTAAAATGATATAAATTTCTAATATGCATCAATATATTGCCCATATCGAGTTTCTTTCTTTTATGTTTTAAACTAGGGTTGGTCCGCGCTACGTGCAGGATATACGTTACGTCTGATGTATATAACTATATAAGTGAATATTTTCTTTGTATGTATCTATATAATCTTTTGCAAAGTAGTGTTTATCGTTTTAAACAATACTAGAGTTTATGGGGATAATGTATCTTAAGACTAATTATGTTTGATTTCGTATTTGTGTCTATATTAATAGATTGCGGCGAATGACATATTATATTGGTTGGATAAGATGTAGGTCGTGTTCTTGTTATATTTTCTTTGATTACTATGAATTCATAATTGGTTGCTCAATTATAAGTTAATATAATTTGGCTTTCAAGAGTAGACATGTGGTTTGTAGGATTGGATTAGACATTACATGATTGCATTTGCTACGGTTATGTTAAGCTGAATACTTATAAATTAATTATAAGTAAACTTTTCACAAAGGGTATTTGTTGAAATCTTACAAATTTTGAATTGGTTTGTAAGACCAAATATTAAATTGTATAAAAAATGGAATATTAGATGGTTAAAGCATGTCAATAACAAACTATACTGACAGTTTAAAAGGTAGAGTATGTTAGATTTTTGAAATATATCAAAATATTATTTATTTGGTTTAAATCATTGATATTTGTTTATATCTATGTTTTAGTGTTTATTTAACATTTTAATGTGTTTTATGACATTATATTATTGTCATTAATATTTTATTTCTTTTGTTGTTTGATGTGTAGTGTTTTTTAACAGTTTTTAACATCTTTTTCTTAATCATATCAGTGTTTTAAGTTATATTTTGTTGTCTCGAATTGCATATATGTTCATTTGTATGCATTAGGGGTTGAAATGCACATCTTGAAACTTTATGGCGAAATGTATGGGCTAAATGGCACAATATGGAAGTTTGGGGTCAGAAATACAGTCATCAAGAATTAAGGGACCAAAGCTGCAATTTCACTATATTCGGCTAGGTTTAATTGCACAATCAGAAATCCATGGGTTTATTTATGAGGATGTTCCTGCAAAGTCAAAGGTTTTGGGGTCAAAGAGGAAACTTTACAAGAGATGAAGGACCTGTTTTGCAAATAAACAAGAGCTCACCATTGGAGAGATCGAGCTTCCCTTCGCCGGATCTGTTGGTGAAGACGGCGCCCACGGGAGAGGCTGACACGGCACGAAGGCAACAAAGGAGTTGTGGTTCAACGGAGGCGCAATGATTTGACGATGACGAGTGATATTTTAAATATGTTATTTTAATTTGTTTGGATATTTTGATTTAGTTTGTATTATTAATAGTTCCCATTTTGATTAGGTTTTATTTTCTAGTTAATTATGAGTTGAACCAAACCATTAATTTGATTTGACGATAGATCCACTTTGATTTTATTCACGTTTCAGTTTCTAACTTGAGCTGCAAGTGAGCATCGTATTGTCTGGTTCAATTTGGTTATTTAAATTATCATTCTAGTAAGGCTTTTATTAATCTGGTTTTAGTCACATAAGTTGTAAAATTGATTATATGGTTGGTCCATTGGGCACTTTTGCACATTTAAATCTAACCAAAGTATTTATATACTAAAAACACGTATGCATCTCCTCTTTATGTAACCCTAGCCACATCATCATTATTCATGAGGTCAACTCTCTTTTTTTTTTCTTCTTCTCTTCCCTACACCCATTTTTATCTGCTATTCTTCTTATGTGTTGTTATTCTTTTCTTATTTGCATGTAGGTTAAGTTAAGAGGCGTTCTCGTTGTCGCATCCAAATCACCACTTCTGTTAAGCCTCTTCATGTTTTTCTAACGCCGGAGTTTAACGCCACACATTACCTGAGCGACACCACACATTACCTAAGCGACCTCCATGCATTGATATTGTTGTGAGGTCTAAGATGTGAGACAAATCCAAGTCGGAGCCATGGCGTTCTTCACCACCAACTACCATCGGTCATGGATCTGTACCGCCGGTGAGCAGTGAATGAGCAGAGGTGCATCCCTTGTTGCTTGGTTTTGAAGGGTGTATGGTAGCTCTAGATCGGAATAAGCAGAGTTTGAGTCATCAATTTACAATTTTGAAGCTCTGTGTGTGTTGTAAATCTGACTACCGCTTCCGGCTATCATAAGCAAATGATTAAGCCATGGTACGTTTATGAATCACCCCTTGAGATCATAGGTTTAGCTTACACGGTGGAAATTTTTGAAAAAAAATCAAAGATATAGAGTTTTGAAATTCTTGATTTTTATTAAATATAATTAACGTCTAAAAATGATGTCGATATTAAGAGACTGGCCATTTTCCGTTATGGGCTTGATACAAATTTCTTTTCCAAATAAAATAATGTGACACATGTCATTATCTTAACATACTCATTAATAACATGACAGTCTCACATCAGAGAAAACTCTACTTTATATAATAAATTTTATCATTGATACACTCAATACAAAAGGTATAGATTCTCTCTTGGTTCTCATCATCACTTCTAGTGCGGGTTTTGAATATTTTCATACCGGAAGCAATTTATTAATATGCATAGACATTAAATATTTCAACTTAAGGCTTAAGGGAAATGTGTGTGCTAAGAATCGAACTGAAGACCTATCTCTCATCATCAAAATCATTAACCATTAGGCCACTTAAGAATTTTAAGGGGGTGTTATTGGTTTCCTAACTTAAATTAACTCCATTAGATTTTAAGTTGGTTAGATTTTAATTTTTTTGATTCATTTTACATTCTATGATACTTGATTTATCTATACATTTAAATCCGTTTCAGTGTATTTTTAAATTAAACATGATATCATTGATTTCTATGCTAAATTTGAACTTTATTTCAAGAAGATTTCAAACCTTTAAGAGAATATATAATTGATCGTGCTTAAATTATGAAGAATCACATTTCCAAAGTTTTTATGAGATTTAAATTTTCATTTTCCCCAGGAGAACAAAAAGTTCTATAAATGATATAAAATGTGGAAATAAGAAGAATTATGCAGCTAATGTGAATAATCAAAATGTTGGGAAAATCTGAGTTTTTACAATTTTTGGTATAAGAAAAAGGGAAAATTTGAAAAAATACTCTGCAAAGAGATTTTATTTTCCAAAATGCACTGTATTTTTTTTCTTTTGAAATGTACACTTTTTCTTAAGTTAAATGACTAAATTATCCTAATTAAAATATATAATTACATTAAAATTGAAATTCAATATTCTAATTATTTAAATTAAACGATAAATTTCATAATACGAAAGAGATGAAAACAGCACAGTTGACGACACATCACATTTACTTACCAAATTTTGAATCTATTTCCTTGTGCTTTGTAAGTGTCTTTATTGTTAAAGTTTTTATAAGTTTTGCGTATATATTCTTCTTCAATTGAATTTTTTTTTTCTAAAACATTCCATTAAATTTCAAATCAAAGTACAAAGTTTGACAATGAACCCGCAGACTTACAGCATAGTTTCGATCTGCTTCATCAAAAAAAAAAGAAACCTAGGCAAAAATAAATAACCAGGTAGAGAGATAATCCAGTTTAACCCTGAGGTTGTTATTGCTCTGAGATCATTATGAGAAGTTCCTTTGCTCCCGTGACAGATAATCCAGTTTAACCCTGAGGTTGTTATTGCTCTGAGATCATTAGACCAATGATGCTGAGGGTCCGGAGACCGATTTGGGAAACGGGAATTTCTTTTCTTCCAAATAGTAGTATATATCAAAAGCTTGCATTGCTAGTTTCAAAATCAAGACAACATTTTTGTCTCTCGATTGAAATTTATGAGCACAATAATGACCAATTCACCAATTACGAACACGTAAATTCTATCCGTTGACTTTTTTCGTACTTCTATAATCATTTAGTGGAGAGATATTTGTTGATTTGGTGAGATGATGAATTTAAACATATAAAATCTTATATTTTTAATTGGAAAGTGACAACTTAGTTACGTAAAAAAAGAATTATATAATATTCTTTTAAAGATAAACTTCGAAAGATTTTAAAAGATTTATAAAATTATATATTTTCAGTTATTAGATCACTAATATAGTTATCTTTCGAAATTGATTTTTAGTCATTAAAAACATGGTCAAAATGTCTTTTTACATATATAATAAGTGTAGTTTTCAAAAACAAATTAAATCAATGCATTTTTCTTGAAAACATAAATAGAGTACTTTTTTAGTAATGTGACGATGACTGTTAATAAAAATGATGATAAAATCTGAAGGTTGATTTTGATTGATATACTTTACACATGATATTGGATTCAAAGTATTTCAAGTCAAATGGATTTTAAAAAATCTATTAAATATGAATAACCCACAAGATTTGAGAGTTGTATTCAATTAATTAGTTGAATAACAATAGATTTTAAAATTTTCTAATGAAGAGATTATAAATTTAAGAAACAATAATACTTGGATTTTAATATTTTTTTGTTCATAGAGACATTTTAACTACGATAACTAATAACATTAGATTTCAGTAGAAGGTTTAAAATTAATCATTGAATAATAACATATTACAATACCTATAGACTTAATTTTAAATCAACTAATTAATAACACCCCTTATTAATTTGTTGTCTCTAAACTACCAAAGCAAATAAAAACCTGAAGTTTAAGTGTCCTTGGCTTCTCCTCAGTGGCTGCCTTTGATCACTTCCCCTATCTTCTTTAATTAGTTTGCTCATTCATCAGTCTTCTTTTCTTGGGAATAACTTTTTATTCAACACACATTGATTCAGTTAGGTGTTATACTTATAACAAACCTCTGCGGGAGAACATAAGAAACTAAACGTTTAGGCCCTTTTGTTGTAAAACGAACATTTTGGGATCTTTTACGAAATATTCTCAAAATTACTGTTACACGCAAATTTAAAAAAAAAGAAAAAAAAAAGATCTAGAACGATTCAGATATTGTGAGAGTCCTGCTCTGACCTCGCCCCTATGGAAACCCAAGCTTTTCTTCCCTTATTAAAACCCTAAAATACTTTTCTACTCTCCTTCCAATTCGTCGATTCTGTTTCTAAGCTTGTCGGTACTACAATATCGCTTCCAGGGTTTGTTCGAAAATCTTCAAAAAAAACAATGACTCGTGCTTCGGTTTTAATCTTATCTCTTCTCCTTATTTCGCACTTGGTTTCTGCGAAAGTTATGTTGATCGGGAATTACACATCTATCTCCTTCGACGATATCGAAGCCAATTTCAGTAAGTTCTCTTTTAACTCTTCCATTGGATTCAATTTCAGGGAATCACCGTTGTGAAATTTTCAAAATTAGGGTTTGGTTGCATGTAGGAAAGATAAAAAAAACTTGTTGCTAATTTTACAAATTGAGAATTTGGGTTTTGAGATAAGCTTTATTTTCTTTCAGCTCCGATGATTAATAAATCGGGTCAGTGTGGGGTACTGCACATAGCAGAGCCACTTGATGCTTGTTCAGATTTGGTTAACACAGTGACTGTAGAAGAAGGATCAGTCACTTCTCCTCCCTTTGTGTTGATCATCCGCGGTGGATGTAGTTTCGAGGACAAGATTAGAAACGCGCAGAAAGCTGGTTATAAGGCAGCTATTGTTTACGACAATGAAGATTATGGTTTCTTGATATCAAGTATAAACAGAAAAGACAATCTCTCTAAGCTTTGTTTCAAACTTAAATTATAAAACTATTTGTTAATGACTTTTGTGAAAACATAAATGTAGTGGCTGGGAACCCATCTGGTGTAGTTATATACGGGACGTTTGTGTCTAGAGCAGCTGGTGAAATACTCAAAGAGTATGTGGGTCGTACTGATTTGGAACTGTGGCTGTTACCAAGCTTCGAGACTTCGGCGTGGTCAATCATGGCTATCTCGTTTATATCTCTTCTTGCTATGTCTGCTGTCCTCGCTACTTGCTTCTTTGTCCGTAGGCATCGGATTAGAAGGCGGCGTGTTCGGTCTTTTAATGGTGGAGAGTTTACTCGTATGGGGATAGACTCGATAAGAAGGATGCGTACTACGGTTTTTAATGGCGTTTGTGATGAAGCTTCTACTTCTATCTCTTGTGCTATATGTATTGAAGACTATCGTATTGGTGACAAGCTAAGGATCTTACCTTGCAATCACAGTAAGTACTTTTGTCTCAAGCATTTCAAAAGTTCTTGGTTCTTGATTCTTGAATTCTTGATTCTTTGTGTTTTTTTTTTTGTTTGGTAGAGTTTCATGTTGGATGTGTTGATTTGTGGCTTGGCCAAAGGAGATCCTTTTGTCCGGTTTGTAAACGAGATGCAAGAACCATCAACATTGATATGCCTGCATCACCATCAGAACACACACCTTTGCTTTCTCCTAGCTTGACTCCGACCTCGTCTTTTCTGTTATCATCGTCACCTTCCACAAGCCCATTTCAGTCATCTTATGATATTCCTTCATCTTCTACAACAATGCAGCTACATACAGGCCCTATGTATCTTTCCCACTCTCGCTCACATACAAGTTTCCAAAACGGGTCATACCGGTGTTCATTGCCTATACCGGTTAGCCGTAGCTCGCTAGATCTCAGGAATGGCGGTTCCCGAAGATCTTACAACTCACCTCGTGCTGTACACTCAAGATATACGAATATACTTAGCCCCGGAAATGCATCAACGAGCTGGGGTGTTGGGTCGTTGTCAACAAGCCAGCGTGAGCATTCACTTCGTATAAATGATTCGCCCAGGTTTCTCTCTCACTTTGCCTCTGCTAGCTCTCTACCAGGCTGCTAAACCTAAAAGGTAACGACAGACTAACTCAAACGTTCGTTGTTGGGGCTCATTGTTTTGAACACTCACTTAACTACTCACTCGAGGAGAATGTCCCTTTGATTTGTACTAATACTAATGTTTGACCCATGTGGCTGCTTTTAGCAAACGATAGAGGTAAAGAGAGTGTTCAGTGTGACTGTGAGTGATATTCTTCAGTTGTACAGTTGTGGAGAATTGTGATTGTGAGATGAGTGAGTTTGAAGAGTAATGCGTCTTATTACTCTGATCCCTTCTGTAATATATATACTTGCTCCTTCAAATTTAGTAATATACACGACTAGGTTAAGTTAAACTAGTGATAGATACAGTAAAGGGTTCTGATTCTGAGGTGTATAAAACAACGTTGGTTTTCATGTCGTTGATTACAATAAGGTGGAGGCATTCCCTCATTTCGTTTGGTTTGGACATTCAGTTATTCCGCTTTTTAATAGATTTTTCGGTTCTATAATTATGTTCCATCTTTTTTTTTGCTTCGTATATGTTAATTTCAACACTCTCCAGATCAGTCACTAGCTTTAAGAAAACATTCAATTTTTCTTTTAGTCTCTTACCCTCTTCCATTATGAAGTTGTTGAATTTTGGTTTGATAGATTTGGTTAGGCATGTATGGCTTCCATATTGCAAGAGAAATCTTCTCATTCATCAGCTTTCTTAGGATTGTATCGGTTACGCTCATACTTAAAACTTTTACACTCTTTGTCTTTTAGATCCACTTTAGGTTCTCGATGCAGCATCATAGTTCTTTTTCCGCCAAACAATCTATTTTAAAACTTCCTTTTATATTGGTTTTCCTTTTCGGTTGTTAAGTTTTCATATTACTTTTTCTTTAAGTTTCTTAAACCTTAGGGATAAGTCGTTTGTGACCGACCCTAAACGTCTATATAATGGCTTCTTATAGTTTTTTTAAACTTAATTTTTGAAAGATAATAAACTACAATTCTCTCTAAAGCCTTGCATTGATTCGATTATGTCATCAGTTAGGTCTCTAGAGATTTAAACCTAAATCCCTAGATTGAACTAAGTTATCGTTGATACGTTGCGCTAGGTTGGTATCAGAGCTTTGCTACGCTCTTCAAAATTTTTTCCATTCCCCATGGCAAGACCATGACGAGCACCTGTTCGAACCGATGCAGAAATCACCCGTGATGCAATTGCCGAGCTTCAAGCTCAGTTGCAAACGATGAGCGCCGCTCTTCAAGCCCTCACTGCTCAAAGACATCCACAAGCACAACCGGTTAATGTTGTTGCATGTGGATGATGACGTTGCAGAGGATGAAGACGATGAAGACCAGTTAGGAGTTAATGATAATCTGTTTGCTCCACTTCATAACAACCGTCCCCTCCTACGAAATGCAGATCGAGAAGCTGCTGATGATTATCAATGGGAAAAGGTTTCAAATCTGACATCCCTGAATTCCATGGAAACTCCTCCGATGAAGAACTTCTAGATTGGATCGTCGCGGTTGAAAAAATCCTAGAACTCAAACACGCACCAATGGATCGATGTGTCCCTGTTCTAACAATGGAATTTCGTGGAGGAGCAGCATCATGGTGGACACAATTGAAGACAACTCGAGCTCGTCTCAGGAAACCTAAAATCATGTCTTGGGATAAGCTTAAGTCGAAACTTAAGAAAACCTTCTGATAAGGGTTTTTAAGTCCTCAGAGTAAATCAATGTAGTATTTAAGATTATCGAACCACAAAGAACTAGTGATCTAAACACTAAGAGTACACAAACTTTCCTAATCTAAGCAAATAAGAGAGATGTATGATTTGTAACAAGCTAAGATCCTATATATATAAACAAAGGTGATCTCAAATCCAATCAAGAAACAAGTACAAGAACTCAATCAAATGCTAAGGATAGATCCATGGGTAAGGATAATTGATATAAGGTGATCAAGGTTCAATCTAAAGGTGGCAATTTTTAATCAATCTATCAAACTTATGCCTAGACACAACACTAAGCAAACTCTTTCTCAAGAAGGAAACTCATTTGCTAAAATAACTCAAGCATCAATCTCTTTGGTTGAATATTATTATAGCAATCATGGAGAACAAGTCTAATAGCAATCCTAGCACCTTTGACATCAAATCTCTTTGGCAAAGCAAGCTAAAAGCATTGAAGAGTTGGTTAGAGAATTTCATCAAAGACCTCTCGGGCGAGAAATACCTAGAGATCTATCTTAGAGAGGCCAACTCTAAAATAGCATTGAAATCACTCATCAAGCAAGGAATAAGAAGGATCTACAATAAAACACCCTAGATCTACACTTAATCACCCTAATCTACCTAAACCCATGAATCTAAAATGTGTCTACTGTCTAATTTCCATGAAAAACCTTAAATCCATATGAGAATCAAGGCTAATCATGTTAATGAGAAAGAAAAACAAGATATAAAATGAAGTACTTCCTTAGATAATCAAAAGGTCCAAGCCTTATAAAATGAGGCAAAGTATGTTCTTGAGAGAAAATGAGATACTTAGGGTTTTTGGGATCTAAAACTATATATAAAGAGTCTAAATTCGTGCTGGTTTAATTAAATTAAACCAGGTCAAACCGGTTTAAACCGGTCAACATTAAGAAATTGTATTTTGTCTCCTTCACTGCGGCCATCGCTTGCCGCTCCCGAGCTCGCTTCGATCCTAGCAATGGCATCACGTCGCTGCAATCACCCGCTCCAGCTCACGCCCATGATACGGCGACTTCACCAACCCGCTGTGTGTTGCTCGCTCTGAACCTGCACTAACTCGACTTGACTTCTCCAATCATGGCCGTCGGAATCGAATCCCGCTGTCACGTCTTCTTCTTCGTGGCCGTCGATCTGAACCGTGGCTTCTCAAGCTATGCTCTTCTCAGCGCAAGCTTCGTCTCTGTTGAGTCGTCCTCAGCCAAGCTCGAGCCACCACAAGTCAAACAACCAATTCACCCTCGTCAGCTTCATCTCCGCCGCTTTGCTCCACCAAGAGGCTCCTCCTGCCATGAACCATGGCTCCTCGTTCTGTCCTAGAGATCCACCCGTCGTTTTGGCCGCCGGAACCGTCGAAATCAGGTCGCAGATCCGATGAGAAAAGTGTCGAGCACAGCAATGGCTGATTTCTTCAGTTTTGCACAATAGGTCCTTGACTTCTCTTTGTTTGCAACTCAGCCCCAATCTTCAGAAATTGCAGAATCATCCAAGCGAATCAGCCCCTGGACTTTCAATTGTACTATTTAACCCAAGCGAATATTCTGAATTTGCAGTATTGGTCCCTGAACTCTTGATGGCTTTCAAATCGGTCACAAACTCTGTAAATTGCAAGGATAACCTTCCAATTTCACCTCAAACTTCCGAATGTGCACTTTAAACCCTGTTATACGAAATTATACAATGAAAATGTAATATATGCACCTAATATGCAATTTAAATAATCAAAATGAATTAAAATGGGATACTAAAAACCTATAAAAACATGAGATATCACCTTCTTGCCTTACAATTATGACGAGCTGATGTTCCAACGTTTACACACCATCCGTTAAGGAACACGATCTGTAGCTGACTACTCAATTGAATTTTTTCTTCTCCTCAGTCGCGTTGAGATACAAGATTCTGAGCGTCAACTGATAGCTCGTTTTATCGCAGGACTTCGTCAGCAAATTCAACATACTATCAACCTTTTTAACCCTCTTACCTTGGCTGAAGCTCACCAGCAAGCTTTAACTATTGAAGCTCAAACGAAATCATCCTTCTCCTCTTGGACGGTGCGACCTTCATGTGTTGCTCAACCTCTGACAAATCAAACTGCCACAGATGACACAACACCACTTAAAGCAGAAACTGCTGTAGTTCCATTTGTTGAGAATCGCAACAACCGCCCAAGTTCTCTTCGCTGTTTTTCTTGTGGAGAAATTAGACACTGTCAGTCGAATTGTCCGACTCGTAATCGTCGTGGGCTTCTTCTGGATACCTCTGGTAATGACGTTGAAGTTGGTTATGACGACGACAAAAATGACCTTGAGGACGAATCTGAAGTTTTGACAGCTGATATTGGACCTGCTCTAATGGTTCGACGTGTTTGTTTGGCCCCCCGCGGACCCGACAACAACCCTCAGCGACATAATCTGTTTCATTCTAAGTGCACCATTGGAGGAAAGGTATGCAAATTTATAATTGATTCTGGAAGCAGTGATAATGTTGTAGCAGAGGAGGTGGTCAATAAACTTAAACTCGCCACTGAACTTCACTAGCCTGGCTTGATCAGAAAACTGACCTGCTGATTACTCGTCGTGCGCTAATCGCTTTCTCCGAGGGAGATGCGTATAAAGACCAAATTCACTGTGACGTTGCTCCAATGGATGCTTGTCATCTTCTCTTGGGTCGACCATGGATCTTTGATCGACGTATCCAACACGATGGGTTTCATAATACCTACAGTTTCCACTTCAACAACCGCAACTTCACACTACTGCCTTCAGCGCCGGAACAACAAACCATGTCGTCTTCTCCAGTTCTCATTCTCAATCAAAAATTCGAAGAGTCCCTGCCAGAAGCAGGAATGGTACGGATTCTTATCAACTCGATACCTTCGCTACCGTCACCTAGAGTTCCAGACGCGTTCGATTCTCTGCTCGAAGAATTTAGGGACGTATTTCCCGACGACTTACCTCCAAGACTCCCGCCTCTTCACGATATTCAGCATCGCATTGACCTTGTTCCAGATGTCGTTCTTCCGAACAGAGCTCATTATCACATGAGTCCTAGTGAGCGTGAAGAACTGCGAAGACAAGTGGAGGAGCTCGTTGTTAAAGGATATTTACGAGAGAGCTTAAGTCCTTGTGCAGTGTCGGCTTTACTAATTCCAAAGAAAGATGAGTCTTGGCGTATGTGTGTGGATAGTCGAGCCATTAACAAGATTACGGTTCATTATTCGATTTCCTATCCCTCGCCTCGATGATTTACTCGACCAGATCGGATCAGCTTCAGTGTTTTCAAAACTTGATTTGAAGAGTGGTTACCATCAGATTCATATCCAGCCTGGGGATGAGTGGAAAACAACGTTCAGGATTCGAGAAGGACTCTTTGAGTGGCTTGTAATGCCTTTCGGTTTGTCCAACGCACCTAGTACGTTTATGTGAGTCATGAATCAGACACTGCGTCCTTTTATTGGAAAATTCGTGGTAGTATATTTTGATGACATTCTCATCTTTAGTATGACACTGGCCGATCATATCAACCACCTCAGAGAGGTCCTACTTGTTCTGCGAAGAGATCAGTTGTTTGCTACCTTGAAAAGAATGTGAGTGTGGATCCCAACAAGTTCACATCCTTGGCTACATTGTTTTCACACAGGGTTTGGCTGTTGATCCAGAGAAAGTGGAAGCCACTTAGTCTTGGCCTGTCCCAACAATGTTAGCTGAGAT